GCGAATCGTTACATACATACACGATGATCGACCGTAATGCGCTGGAATTTTACAAAATAGCAGCCTTCTTTATCACATAAAATGCATCGCGCTTGCATTGTATTCAGTGTTCGATAACGTTTTATTATACCGATATATTTTTCTTCATTTTATACAGAAAGTATCTCGAAATATTACAGAGAGAGAGAGAGAGAGAGAGAGAGAGAGAGAGAGAGAGAGAGAGAGAGAGAGAGAGAGAGAGAGAGAGAGAGAGAGAGAGAGAGAGAGACATCGCGATTGTGTCTCTTTTGTGCAGTCCGTACAAATTTTAGGATTAATAAAAGTAATAATTAAAAATTAAAACATTGTATTGAAGAGAGTATAACAGATAAGAATAAATGATAACATTTATCAACTGAGAATATCAATATATACCGACGTATAAACTCAACCCCTCGACAATCTCCATAAGTGGGGTGACGTCAAAATTTTTCAAGCGGCAACAGATTTCACAGAAAGATTAATGAGCACCGATACGCGGATATTGCCGTTACTAATCTCTCTCGGCTCGTTGAAAGTAAATTCGAAAAGGCGCTCCCGTCATATAGAAGCGAAAAGCAAGATCCGTTAACAGATTGCTTTTTCCGTCCAAAGGATAGACAGAGAAAATGCGGACGGGAGAATAATTTCCATGCAGGAGCGACGAAGAGGAAGGAAGAAAGTGCGGGAAACGCAAACGACCTCAGTCACGGAGGAGGATTTCCCACCAGCAGGAGAGAAAGAGAGAGAGAGAGAGAGAGAGAGAGAGAGAGAGAGAGAGAGAGGAGAAAGAAAGAGAGAAAGAGCTTAAAGGAGATAGCCGGTAAAGATCCTGGCGCAGGACACCCGCGTGAAGCATAGCTCGAGCCGCGCGGTGCTATCCGCGCATACCATCTCGCGACAATCTTTTCGCACTTCGCGAGACGGTCCATTCCTCAACTTATGGAAATGCGAACGCTGCCGACGCGAAGAGCACGCCGCGAAGCATCTCGCGATATCAAAGAAATGCATCGCCAATCGCTTCGTTTTTATATGTAATCGACGCGTGAGCGGTCGCAAATGCTTTGTGATGCGGTAACCGGTGTGAATTTATTCGTCGTAGAAGTCGAGAGTGACGAAGACAGCGACCGGAAAACTAAATGAATTTGACATGTTAATAGACTTGCCGAAATCTCTTTATTAACACGCGCATTTCAAGAGATGTTTTCCGTTTAATAAATAAGAGGTGTGAGTGTCGAGTGAGCTAGTTACAATCGAGGGGTAAAATGCTGGAAAATCTTGGGATATAAGACCAAAAGGTATTAAGCAAGGATTAATGAGCGTTATCCTAGAATGAGGTATTATTTAATTAACGTTCTAAATCCCATTTAAGAACTTACCGGTTTGTCCACTCATTTTTAAAAATCTCTATTGTGAGAGTAGATTATTTAAAAAATGAATATTAAATGGATATTAAAATATCTAAAGAATAAAGGAAACATGATAGAAAAAGTGAACCTTTATTATTCACGTTTCATTTATTCGCAATTTCATTTTTTATGGAGCATATTCCGCGAGACACATTTCGTTGTCATATTTCGTGTTGGTTGAGATGAAATACTTCATTTTCGTAAAATATTCGTAAAATTGTCGTAAAATATATCAACGCGACGATTACAACGTATGATCCGACACGCGACATTTGATCACTCGTCACTCGCATTGATATTTTTTAACGCGAGATGTTCATCGAGTCTCCTCACACCTGTGTCACACCTGCATTTATGAACTACCGAAATCTATGCTTTGCGAGATGCCGGCTGGTATTAAAGCGTTATTAGCCGCGCAACAGTTTAGAGAGCCTCGTCAAGAACTGTCAAGTCTGTTTACGGGTTAGGGGACGAGACTCGTGAGCCCAGCTTAACCCTTTCAAGACTGTCGGGATAATGTGTTCTAAGGAATGTTTACCTTTCTACCAGGATTATCCGCTCCAAATACGATATTTTACCTGTATTTTCGTCTTCAGCCGACTTTAACCGTCGAACGTCGTACAAAAATCAAAATTTACAACGGCCCGTCACTAAAAGGTCAACACAATAGCAAATAGCAAAACGGCGCGAAGAAAAAAGCGTATTCCAGTTTAAAAAGGAAAAAGAAAAAAAATAAACGACCGACGCACCAAATTTTAAGTGCTACAGTTCTGGATTTTACATTTTAAAAGCTTCGTGCCAGAGATGAATAAAAAAAGAATGTATACGCTTTTTTCTAGGCTTGGGCAGTGAGAAAAGATCCAAAAGCATCGGGCACGGAATTAAGATTTACGAACACCCGTGACAAAAAGATCTTCTAAGAGAAAGAAAAGTTCAACGTGGTGGTGGGCATGCCGCAAAGAGTTTCCCTCGAACTTCTCTTATTTTCGACTCGGCCGCACAACACGACAATGCTCTTAAATTCACCGCCTTGGACTGCCAACAACGTTATAGCCGGGGAAAAGAGCGCGAAGAAAAAAAGTCTCACGGACGTGCCCGTCGAAATTAGGCCGGTCATTGTCAGATTTCATTGGAAACACGAACAGCATTCGCGAGGTCGATTCGGTACGTGGCCTTTGGCAGGTCCAGCCGTCGCTCAACAGTCTCACTGGCGGAAAGTCTTCGGAATGCCATTGTAACTGCGGCTATTAAAGTCAAAGAACCGATCTCGCATATGTTTCAGTCGGCACGACTTTGTTTAGAGAACCGTTAACGTGCACTTAAAATGTTAAATACGTCGGAATCGTTTGACTGGAAATCTAATATAGTCATCGCGCACATCATTACCACTGTATTACGTAACGACCCCGACCGACATCGATGTGAGAGAGAGGTCAACGAAGAAACGAGACTTCGTTATTTCTCTTTTTGAAGCGCCGAATTATATAATTCAATCAGCACGCAGATTATGGCTGTTAAATAATTCAAGAATTATAACCTTTGCGGCAATTATCGTTGTGGGAAAATCATCGGCTTCGTATTCGTCAACGCAGACACGTCACCAACAGGCGCGCGTTAGTGATACCTCGCGCGTATGAGATATTTAGCGTGCGCCACGTGGCATTAAATTGGAGCGATTCAGCGCAAACTTTAAACGGGATGCGCGAACTTGGTTTCGCGATTTTTATCTATGAACGTACGCGCCGTTGTGACACATACGTGACGGTGTGTTTCGGCGTGATCGAGAGCCTCTGTGTTTTACGGTCGCGCGATTTTATTTTTTTCCCCCGTCGTGGCGCGCGGCATCACTTTCGCATTTAACTGCATTGTGCGAGCTCACGGCGAGCGGACTGCGCGTGACAGCGCCGCGGCATAAACATCGATCTGCGAATATTACCGTGAAGCATTACTCGCGAAATGACTCCCGCGATGCTTGGAACTGTTCGCTAGGCGAACCAGAAACTTCGATCGTTTGCTATCAAATCGAGCTGAGCGACGGCGAACTGTTAACTCTCGCGTTTTCTGCGTCGATTGCGCACGATGATCGTTTCTCTCTTTCGCCGGAGGATAAAAATAAATCAGGCATAAATGAAGCCGTACTACGAGGAGAACGACGAGAATCTGGAGATTCTCGTTAGAAGAAAAGGCCACATCGATATATCGCAACATTCATAACGGTTTGAGAGAGATTCTACAACATTTTGAGATGCTAGGTTAGGTTTACGTCTTGTGTAAAACTTGTGACATGTGCATCTATTTGGAATCTGACCCATTTTATAGCTAATAAAGTTTAAATATCTCACTCTCAGTCATTGAATATCTATCAGATATAACTCAAGAAAATATCAGCCGATATTAAAGTCAGAAAGAAACAGACAAAAATATTCTTAGAAAATGTATACCCGTATTTGAAAGAAAATATTCTTTGCAACAGTTTAATGGAATAAAATTATAGTATACATGACAGAAAAAATCATATTATATATTTTTTTATAATTGCATCAGAATTTATTTCAACACAACGTCGAACATTACTTTAGATGCCAAGCATATCACTTCTAAGCAATAAACAACGGAAACCTACACGAGAAGGTCTAAAGTCTGGATTTTATTCAACAAAACACGTCATGTGTCACAAATCTATCGCAGGAATGATTAGACAATACTGAGATAAGATACGTCGAGAAACATTCGAAAGGTAAAAATATCTCTCTTTTTCCGACATTATCCGTATCTTTGTGGCATCCCGTCGAGACCCTTCAAATTCTCGCCCTCGTATTCTATCTGCAGGTCTACGTTTCCTGATCACGCATTGCGTATTCTACGAAACTTTTCGAGCTGACAATGAAACAAATACATCAAACAGTATTAACAATTCATGTCGGCCAAAATTTCGTCCATCAAAGTGGCTCCGACAAAAGCAGCAATGTGGCAATCCGCAAAAAATACAAGATAAACAATTTCTTTCGCATCATAAAGAATCGTCGTCGTAACGCCGATCAATCTATCACAGTTTCTTCACACCGTTATATGTTTATATAACAGAAATATGAGGACCTTGCAAAAACTTTGATTTTGTCGCAGTAACTATCGTAAAAATCTAAGAAAAAGAGAGAGAGAGAGAGAGAGAGAGAGAGAGAGAAAATAATAAAATGAAGCCATTGATCGTTCAATTATTTCCAAAAAGAATAAGATAAAATAAAATAAGAAAACAAGAGCATGATTCAAATAATCGTCGTTCGTCGACGTTCTAATCACGCGCGGATTTACGTCAATTTCGCTCTAATCGATTTCACCACGTCGGCCCATTACGTGTTAAAGATAGTTTAAAATATACACGCGCGTATTGAAATTCTTCTCATGCCGCCAAATATAGATATCTGAAGAGCGTTACATCTGAGTCCTCATAACGAGGCTCGTGAAAACTCTCCTAATCTCCCGAATGAACATTCGTTGGACGCTTTATGAAGTTTTGTGTGTTTCTAGCTGCAGCCTTTCGACCGTCAAGTTTTATGACTCATAGAGAAAACTTACCACTCAGAAATGTCGACGGCGGGATATCTCAGGATCCGCTCCGATTTTGACGAGCGACGTCTCGACTCTCGGGAAACAGTGATCCTCTCCTCCTCCTCCTCTCTCTCTCTTGCGCGCGCGCGCGCACGCTATACACCCCCGTAGTTAAGAACTTCCCTCCTATCCTCCGCCGCCCTTGCGATCACACACTTCCGTCACTGTCACTCACTCACTTTACGAGCTCCTCGATTACGTCCTCCTATAACTGGAGCCGATAACTCTCGGCGGCGGTCGAAGTCGATGACTTAGACAGCCACTCGTGCCTCTCGATCTGTTTATCCGCGCGTCATTGGTGCGCGACCCCGTTGACTTTCGTCGTCGCAAAGTTACTCCCGAAAGTTGCGCTCCGATTTTCGGTCTCGACCTCTTAGCGAGAGAGAGAGACGGCACCCGCACTATTCACTGATCGCGACCGATTTGTTTTATCGAACTCACCGGGACGATAGTACGAACTTGTTCCTGCCGCGAGTGACGCGGAGAAAACTGGTCCCCGTCGGCAGCAAAGAATCGGAGCACGGATTGGGCACGAGCGAGTTCAAGGTGGAACAACTATTCTAATCGCGCGAACTGTTAATCACTATTCTTCGCTCTGCGTTCGCCGGTTACATCAGGCGATCAAAGTCTTCAGCAGGTTCTCTCTCTCTCTCTCTCTCTCTTTCTCTCCCGCGATCTATCTTTTTCTCTTACTCTGATTCTCTCGACGAGAAAACGCGCACTCCGCAGCACCGCGCAGGCCAACCGCGCGTCACGGCACCAGCCTGTGAACTGAAGCGCCGACGCGACCTGAAGCCGGGACTCGACTGGTTCTTCCGGCCTAGAGAGTCCCCACCGCTCTCCCTCTCTCTCTCTCGAGAACACCCGCACTCGCTGTCGCGCGCGCGACCCTAGGTGCGCGCACCATCCCCCGTTCGCGGGGGAATCCCTTCTCCGCCTTCACCCCCTCGTTTCAGCCCTTACCCCCTCGTCCTGTCTCTCTTGCTCGCTCTCTTCAGGAGAGCTCGCCCCTCTTCCCACTTTCGCTCCCTCCCTTTCTGCCTATCTCTTTCTCTCCCCCTCTCTCTCTCTCTCTCTCTCCCTATCTCACTCACTCTCTCACTCACACGATTTCGTCCGTTCTCTTTCTCTCACTGTTCGACCAGTTCGTCGTCCTTGTCCTGCTCGCATTCCAACGGTGGTCGGTTCCTCTCCCTACGACTGCCTGCCTGCCTGCCTGCCTGCCTGCCTGTCCTTCCCGCGCGCGCTATGCCATGTTCCGACTGCCTAACACCGACCCTTCACGTACGAACGACCGAACGACCACCCCCCCCCCTCCTCTCCTTCAACGGTGCACACGATCAACCTCTTCTCTCTTTCCCTCCCTCCCGCCTGCCCGCCTGCCCGCTTGCCACCGCCCCTCCCTCCTATCTATCTAGTTCTCCGCCGCGTTCCCTAACGTTCCTCTCTTCGCGAGGAACCGCGCGCGCGTTGGAGGTGTGCACCCTTCGCCAGGACTTTCCGGATCTCCCTCATCCTTTCCTCATCCACCCCCATCTCCTTCCGCGTCCTGACCAGCCGTTCCTTTCAGAAATATTTCGACGTCCACGCGCATGTACATCCTTGCACCTGACTCCTTGGAGTTCCTCGGCCGAGCAAGTGCGCCGGCCAATCCCGGGCACATGTTCAACACTTCCACTCGTACCATTCTTCTCAGGTTCGAGCGGGGCACGAAAGACGGGGAAATCTCTTTATCATACTCGCGGGCGAACGAACGAGCGAGCGAGCGAGCGAGCGAGCGGGCGGGCAGGCACCTCGAAGAAAAAGACGTTACTCCCTTTTTTCCTTTGACCATTGGATTTGAACGACATGGGCCGACGGTGAAATCGGGAAAGAAACTTTTCGTCGAATGTAGCTAAGCACAATCATTTTCACAGTTTTTCGATATAAGCCACGCTGGGTTCTCACGAAAGATAAAGATTCATTTAATGCGATCAATAGACTGCGATAAGGAGTGATTAAATCATACGCGTACTGAACCAGAAGTTATTCAAACGTGATCCGCTTGTTGCCACATTATTTTTCTCGATATTGTATATTCACTACACTAATCGCTAATCCCTATTTTGTATGAATTAATATTTATCACGCGCTCACACACACACACACACACACACACACACAGTTTTGTTATTACTATCGACAAAAGGTATTACCCGAGGCTAAATATTATTGCAAAATCCCAACATCGAGCCGAGAGAAATGTTCACATGGGCGAAAATTGATTTAAGCTCGATATATTGAAATTTCAGCACGACTATATTAATTTGCGGACCTGCTTATAAATTCCTTTCATTACGGCGAGAACTGCGGCCGCCCGGGGATTACTGCATATTTGCGGTATGAGTTTTGGTACGATCGCGTTATTACATCAGCGCTATTTGCAAGACACTTTTCATAGCTCTCGCGTTCGGCAAATGGCGTCGATGCGAATGACATTTCCATTTCCACTGCGGCCAACACATATCAATTCGACACGCGCAACGAGTTCTCGCGTCTCACGAGCTTACGCTAATTTCCACCATGACCCACCTAACCCGCATCACGCCGGCCAGAATTAACCGACAATTAATTGAATATGTAGATCCCCTTACTTTGAGGCGCCCTCCTATAAGAGCTAATGTCACACGATCACGAATATTGCCAAGTAGCTCGCGCAGGCGTCATTTCTCACAGTCATCGCGACGTTTGGTACTTTCAATATCCGCTTTATACGATTATATCACCGGCGCCATTGACGGAATTAAAATGCCTTGCATTATATCATTTTAGTGAGTGTATTATGCTAGGCTAATAGAGAGTCGGCTGCATTTCCATCAAATATCAATTCGTAGTGGCTCTTGAATCGCACTATCATATCATGCTAATGAGGCAATAGCGAATAGAGGCAATACAGATTTACGACTGAAAAACGTGTAAAAATTTCGTTTCGTTAAAAACGACGTATTTTGTGAGTAATATAATCCGGGAAAAGGGGAAGAGATTTTTTCTCGCTCGAGATAGAATTTTGTTTTAAAAATAAAAATATCAATGAAACATTTGATTGCGGATACGAAAATCTTCTTCCCTCTACAATTTAACTGCCGTCTCTCCACCGCTTGTATGTGTGTCTTCTTCTGGCCTTAATATTAGCCTCTTTACGCACTCTAGGATGCTATCCGTATATTGGGAGGGTCTCTCCTTCAGGGTACCCATCAAATTTCGCGCTGCCGTAAGCAAAAAGAGAAACACGCAGAATTTAATTTTTGCCCCTTGGCTTGAGCGTAGTCGCTCTTGAAAATTGGATTTTTTTAATGAAACCTCATTCGCCTGGAAACAGCGGCAGCTGAAGATTAAGTTTCCCGGTAGACAATATGGGTACTAGCCTTTAACGACCTTTAGAAACGTATTGCAATAAAGCTCGATACGCGGAAAAAGATTACAATTTTATCATACCGGTATCTTTGTAAATGTGTGAAGTGAAAAAGTCGATTAACAGCGAGCACAATATTGCTCCATTAGATAACGACTTTTAATGCAATTTGCCGACGTTCAATATTACACGATAACTCTAACGTCAATTCCAATTTCGTCTCTGCGATCATTAATTCTGCATTATCGCAAGTGCTATTATTAATGCTTATACTCTGTTGCGTTAATAAAGCCGTCACGTTAAATTATTTATCGCTGTAAGAAAGTCACGCACATAATAGAAATGTTAAATAATATCAGAATTAATTAGCGCTATCTAGCACGTCAAAGTGTCAATCCATCTAACACGGACATTTTCTTATTAGTTAAAATTTCTAGATATCTCCCTCCTATTTTACACAACGCGAATGTGCAGCTAGAACAACGATTTGACAATTCCGCTCACCTGAATGCTGTATGAGATATTAAGCGTATGATAATCGGTGACGAATATCAACTAATATCAGTCGGTTGGCAGATGTGGTAAAATAATAATACGACAAGGTATAGGTTCATCGATTTTAATTAAATTTTTGAAGCTGCAGTTTCCCAAAATAAAATGAGTGTTTCAGTTTCAACCGGATTGTCCTTATCGATTATAAATTACCGCCCGTAATAATGACATGACAAGCACATCATGGGCTGTATAATTGGTAATAAGAACGCGAGCGTACTGATCTTTACGAACGCTCATTACGCGACGTTCGACGTGTACCGTCAATAAAACAATTCCACGAACTTAATCTTTTTATGACAGTCGGCGTACGGATCGCCCTTTGTAAATATAGCCAGATCGTCTCCGCCACCCTGAGGTAACCTTGAGAATCCTACGCACAAAACTCAACCTTACCACTGATCGACCGACCGTAAAACTTCCGCTTATTGCAATTTCCTACTTTCGCTTTTACCGTGCGACAGCGCCGGATTACCGCGCGAGGCGCGCTCTGCCGCGCAGTAAAACCGGTAATAATCGTAATTTACATCTGTTCCATAACACATGATTTATAGGGCTTAAAATTTTCATAAGCCGCAAATAAGTATTGGCGCAAATACTCGGAGACCGACTGCCGAGAGCTCGCACGCGCTTCAAATGCCGCGATGCAAAACGAACATGTGTTCGGGGGGATCCCGAAAACCTGATCTTCCCCGCACGAGTCTCGTATTCATCGTAAAAATAACAGTTTACAGTAGTTATTTTACCGCACAGGATTGTGCCATTTTAATGCTGAAAAAAAAAAGAAAAAACATTCGATATAAACGCGAAGTTTATTATTGTAATCTGCGAGACAAAACATCAACCAAATTTAGAAATGAAAAAACATTCGTGTGATTTATGAAAAATATTTTTGATTTTGAAATGACAAATTGAGAATTTTTCTATTTATTACATGTTAAATAAATGTTAGTTAATAATAATAAAAAATAATTTATCAATATTCTTCCTCTCTGAAGTAAAATTTTATTCTTTGAGTTATTAGAGAGAATTAAAAATTTTATTATCAAAAAATTACATATATATATAAAACTTGTGTTTCATTCGTTAAAAATATCGACTATTTATTTTCAGAGCAACGTGTGTTAAATTACGAAAATTCCATACAGTCCGCGTAGATGCGCGTCGTGAGCACTCTATCAATTCATTACGTTGTATCCTGCAAACGAACGAATTTCGCAAGTACCCGGGAGAGCTGTCACGCAACGCATCGATCACATTCGCGCGCCAAACGCGTCTCTGGCTTTAGGGAAAAAAATTGAAGATGTTAACACGCTTATTGTAGGAGTATGATGGTGCATTTACGAAATCCCGAAAGATCCTACGAGGTTTGTAACATGGTTGCAGTCAAAAGTAAAAGAACTTCTTGTCGCATTCAATCAAACGATTTTGGTAGAACAACCATTGTCGTTCTTTCCTAGCTTTTCCTCTTCACCGGTTATATGACTCACCGAATTGGAAATACATGGGTGGCACGGCAGGTAAAAATAACGAATCGTGCTGAAAAGTTTGAGAGGCCATTTACGCCGAGTTGCGTCAATTATTGGGTTTCCGATCCCGGAGGCTATCGTCGGGCTTACGACGAAAGGTCAACGTGTTTTCCATCCGCATTAGCAAAATGGAACAATTCTGAATGGCACAATTCTCAAATAATCCAGAATAGAAACTTAATTCTTAGAATTCTGTAGCATGACGAACACGAAGGGAAGGTCACCGATTTCTCTCGTTTCGTGAGAAACTTTTAAAAAGAACTATTAAAATAATTGGAGATACATGTCCGAAATAATGCTAATAAACTGCGTGAATTCATCATTCAAAATATATGAT